GTAAATAAATGCTGCAAAACCAATGGTTTTCATGGAATCAAACCCATCCTTTAAAATTTCTTTACATGTATTGAAAAACATTTAAGAAATGAAAGTAAATTTATTAATAATAATGTGTATATAAAGACATTATATATATATACCACAAATTAAATAATTTCTAAAACAAAAACATGTTTTCTATAAACATGTAATATATTCAAAAAACCATTATTTATTAAAAAATGAAAAATTAGATTGTTTACATATAATAATCCAAAATCATCAAAAAACACTATATAAATAAATACACATACCCTACCCTATATAATATATAATACCAATTATCAAACCATTCAGTGCCATAGTTATCACTATACGGAATAAAGATACCGATAGTAGCTAATTTACACAAATAAGCTTTTCCCCATATTTGAAAAGCTTTGAGAAAAACAAATGAATCACCAGATACTGAGTCATAGCACATCACAATGTCATTAATCAGTTTTAGAAATATGAACTGACTAATAACAAAACATACGTACTACACCCAATATTAGTCAAATGAAAAATTAGATTAGATGTATTGTAAGTCAGAATATGAATTCTGGGAAAACAGTGTACAGTAATTTGTAATTAATAGTAATTAACAATTATTATCAGGAATTTGTGAGAGACGCTGGTTTTCTATAATATGCCTCCAATGTACTTAAAATACTATATCACTGTCAAAAATAAGAATTTGGTCAATATTTGCACCCTTCTTATCTCAGCCTAGTTTGAGCTATCAATATTGTGATACTGTAAAATGACTAATTTTCACTGGGTTTAAATTTCACTGATTTACCAATTCAGGCATATTCAGTGGGTTTTAAATTCACGGTTTCGTCATTTAGATAATGTGTTCTATGCTAAATTTTACATATTCACTGTGTTTTAATTTAGCGCATTTTTCCAGTCAGCGAAATAAGCTAAATTAAAACCCAGTGAATAATTACCCCCTTTACAGTATTAACTTACCATAGAGGAGAGACAATAAAAACAAGAAAGCTACTGAAGAGGAGTTCAGTATTGATATGAAACTAGAAACAGTTTTGTTTTGATAGAATATGACACTGACCTTGACCCTGTGTCACTTTCATTTAAAGTCAAGGTAACATAATAGAGCACGTTTTTTCTGAGGGTGAAAAATAGAAACCAACTAACACATTGATAGGAATCATAATTTAAGTCGCATGGCATGGTAACAACAACATCTTCACCCTATGGCTCATCACTGAAACTCCAGGCACACTGCACTAGATAACAACATCTCCACCTCAAGGTCTCAGTATGGGAGTTTTTTTTTTCACCAGTATAAAAATAGCTTGTTTTTCTCAACAGTAGTATGGCTTCTGTTGCATGATACGATGAAAACATCCAGCTAATCTAGTAGACAGGACCTTGAAGAGTGTACACCTACAGAACTGCTGTGTTATGAACATGTTGACTGAATCTGAATCGATGTTATTATTAATTATTAAAGATGACTCAATATTAGGATTCTTAAAATACATGTGGTTGAAAGGATAACCAGCAGAATATATCAATGTTTGTAATCATATCAATGTGACACTGGTTCTTGCAGAGAATACAACATTTTACTGCAACCATTCATAAAAGACATTTCTTATCTGGTTTCAGAGCAATAACATTTTTACAGTGAAAAAAACTGAAGGGAAAACAAAATATATTGATTAAAACTAATAATATTGGAAAGAATATTAATTAAATTTAATCAACTCTTCATACGTCACTAAATGCTAAAAAGATTCTTTGTTTCCTAAAGACAAATGTGATTAAATATAAATTGTTCATCAATTGACAATCAAAGTGCAATCATACATATATAATTTGTTATCATATGCATTATCTTTATATGATATAAAAATGACCAAAAATTACTTACTAGTATTTATGGCCAAAGGCTAAAAAGTCATATTTTTGAAGGTTACTAATATAAATAATATACAAATTAAAGTGTCACTTAAAACAAATTATGCATTTTCATTGTATTTCAGACATGTGTTTATATCGCATGATATGTGAAATGTCATAAGCTGCTCACATACAATATAAAACATACATATAATCAGATACACCTACTCTCAAAAGACAACAATAGCACAACGTGCAGATCGCATTTCTCTTATCTGTGTCACATTACATAATGAACCAATCTGTCTGCAATGCTGATTGTATTAGTATTGCATTGTGACTTAGCATGTTTTTCACATAGTATGCATTTGATGATCATTTCCTGGTCTATACAAGTCTATCTATACACATCTTCGACACCTGATTACCCTTCTATACATAAATGTTACAACTACATGTACCAGGTATTAATGGATGTAGATTTTTTCGTAAATTGTTGCAACTCGCAAAGCGTACATTACTTAATATCACTTGATAACAAAACAGAGACCCTGTGGAATTATGAGGCCACAGGTTTTCATAGGATTGCGTTTTGCAAAATAAAAAACAATGTAGTACCGCTAAACAGAATGCTATATTGTGTGATTTTAAGATGATAAAAATTATTTATTATTATTCAAGTTAAACCTATGACTGTGAAATAAGTAATATGTGCCTCGTATGTTTATATGCACCTGACATGATAATTCATGAGTGCAAGTTATTTTTAATATATTACAAACTAGGATATGAATTTCTCGCAACCAGATGTTAAAAATCGGTATGAGAAGTTTTGATCTAATTTGTAACAGTTTTAATAATAATTAGTGTTCTCACAGCCAAGTAAACACTTCTCTCTACTGAATAGCATTAGTCATATTTGTTTTACTTAGATATAGAAGAGTGGCAAAGACTTCTAAACATTCATATGTAATAAATATTTTAAAAATCATTTAGTGATGGCAGAAAAGTGAAACTTATAACTGGCAATTGCTGAGATCATAAAATAAATTAATTAAAATAAATGTTAAAATGCCTTTTTTTTCTCAACGAATTTGTGTATTGAAGCAAGGCACTGAAACTGCTACACTTTCCTTTGTATAGTTCTCATGATATTTTGCAAAACTATGTCACCTACCCTATTGGTTTACTCTATTGACATAAACACATTCCAAAACCTAGTAAACATGTATTGTTATGCTGTGCGCAGCCAGCTCTTGCCACTTTTCAAATAAATGTTGGCAATAAAAAATGCTGTCAACTAATTGTAAAAATATAACATAAATTATACAAGATTAAGACTTAATTAAATGTTTCTCAACAATTTGATCAGTTTTGTCACTAATCATAAGTTTTGCGCTTGGCTGATGAATAAAAAGGAAATAATACAAAATAGCCAATAAATAACCTGGTCAAAACTATATGCTAACATATATATAGCTCTGGACAATTATATTTTCGATAAAACCACAAAAAGGAAGCTAAGGATGGTGTTCAAATAAAAAAAAGTATTAATCTTATTGTCATTTTTCCATCCTTCCAGCTTTCAAATAAATGTTGGAGATAAAAAACGCTGTCAACTAATTGTAAAAATATAACATAAATTATACAAGATTAAGACTTAATTAAATGTTTCTCAACAATTTGATCAGTTTTGTCACTAATGATAAGTTTAGCGCTTGGCTGATGAATAAAAAAGAAATAATACAAAATAGCCAATAAATAACCTGGTCAAAACTATACACTAATATATATATATATAGTTCTGGATAATTATATTTTCGATAAAACCACAAAAACGAAGCTAAGGATTATATTCAAATAAAAAAAAGTATTGATTTTATTTTAATTTTTCCATCCAAGACCATGATAAAATTACACCTGTTTGGGGCTGTGAAAACAGATTATATAGCACTTTTACTCAAACAGTTGAACAAAACATATTTCACTTTATGTGTTGACATGCTCTCAAAAACATTTGAAAGTGAATCAATAATCACTTTTATTGCTGTTTTTTCCCATTTTGGCAATGTACATTAGGTGTGCTATCGCAATCTGTGAGTAAGACCACACAAGCCACCCTAACAAGCCATTGAGCGAGAATGACCTTCAAACAGTTAATCAGTGTCAGTCGTGATGTTATATCTCTGTGACCACACTGGCATCATCCCTAAAAGCGTGGACCACCACCACAGCACAGGCAACTAGTAATTAAAATTTACACATTCCACAAATTCCAAACTTATTGTTGTTTGTAGTTTTTTTGTTTAGTGATCACCAACAAAGAATAAAGTAAACAAAGGAACCCAACACGATAGAGTTTGCCGCCAAGGACATGGATGAAGTCTTTCGCATGAAGCAGTATATACAGAAATGACGATCATAGCTATTTAATTAATACATACAAATTATGAAACAATATTTTTTCAACAAAAATGTGCAAATATTTAGAAACTCGATACCACGAGAATCGCGAAATTCATGCAAATATTTCCGTATTCATCACCAATGTCGTACTACAGCGTCGTAGACCGGCACAGATTAACATTCTCACGCATTTTGCACGGAAAACCCAGACAGTTGACAGAAAAATAGCTTACATATTAAAAATATCCATGAATAATCTGAATTCCCAAAACAGCAAGTCTGTGAGTGTTGGTGAAGCATTTAATTTCACATACTCGGCAGTTTCCGCGATCACAGACCGGTAATAATAGATATGTGAGATAATAACCAATGTAATCAGAGAGTTCCGGCGTCTATCAAGACGACCCGTGAAACAAAAACTCTAAAACAATCCGTAAACGAATCTTGTTTATGAATTACAATTGTTGAGAATCGTCGAGTTTTAGTAAACTGTACAACTATTTCAGTTGGACATTTTCCATGAAAATAATATATGAAATAATTTATTTTCTGTCTGTTTCCGACCGATTTCAGGACGTGGTGTCAGTTTGGTAAACAAGACAACGACGTTGACGTGTTCTTTTGATAAGCAAACAATCGATCGGTATTCCCCAAACGATACTTGAACAGACACATATAAGGAAACGAAAACTACTCACGATTTCACCATTTGTGCTCGACATAACGTCTGATTTGACAGGAAATCTGTAGCTGTACTATAATCTGGGCGCTGCCATTTTTGGACGAACTTGTCATTGGAAACATAGCGCATGTCGGTCAAAGGTTGAATTTGAAAGCGATGGGCGCCACCAAGTGACAGATTATGGTAATTTACAATATTATTTTTCCGCAATCAACATACTCAGCAAGACTGAGCCAAATAAGTAATGAAGTATTGACGGTGGCTATGTCAACTAATTGTTAATACCTTTTTTTTGGTATAAAGATATTTTAAGGAAACCTTATGTTCTTGGAACTCTAAGAGATCTTTTTGCGCCATCTGTCGGTCACTAAAGGGAAGTAAACAAAAATATTGCGTCACTGGAAAAAGACAAAATGGCGACTGAAATAGACAATGTAACGGAAAACCAACAGAAAGTAAGTGTCTTTGTCGCTTAAATGGCATTTTATTTGCTGTAATGAGTATTAGGATACAAATTTGTGGCTTTAGACATTTTCGGTATGTTCACTTAGGTATTTAAACGCTCGGGAACACCGTAATCGGCAAGTTTAACGGAATTAGGTTCATCTCCCGCGATGATGAGTAACGGTCATCGTCATTTGTTGACAAATTACCCTCGTTTTGTTCTTTCGCGAACCTCTGTGAAAACATGTACGATTCGCACTTCCGTTCTTTTGTGACGTGTTTTGAAAGCATTTGTTTCCGTTATGCGTCAAACAAAAGTTGCCCTTGCTTTAGGCGTTTTCAAAGAACTTGTTTGAGAATTAGTATCCCATTCTTTGTGCTGCCGTTCTTTATTCATCCTTTATCAAATTTATGACATGATCGCGATGCGTTTCACCGGGCGCCTGCTGATTAAATAACGAGTGTGTACTTCTTGATAGAATCGTACCCAGCACTGGGCGTCCGGAAGTCACTGGGCCCCAGGGACATGTTTATTTGTCGTCTAGTACAGATATGATCGGCGTCGTGTATTCCGTTAAAAATGGGTGTGCCTGAAACTGAAAGGACGCCGATGAATAATGGCCTGAATATCTGTGGTCAAATTAAGAACTCCTCCGCATTCTACACATGCTTGCTGTATATCATGTGCATATCAAATTGAGAGCTTCTGTTTATACTTGAAGCCTGGACCTACCACATGGTCTTATTAATTGCTGTCAGTGATCTGGTGATATGTGTTGGAAATCACATTTTAAATGCATTC